TTCATTTGTTTTATTCTTATATACTTTTGTGACTTTTTTAGTTTTTGTTTCAGTTTAATATTGAATTTAGTTCACATACTTTATGTGTATATATTTTAAAACATAATTTTTCTTTTAAAAAATTAAGCGACAAAGAGCCTAATTAAACCGATCCAAAAATAAACCGAACTAAATATAAATTGAACTGGACATAAACCACACCGAACCAGACTAAATAAGGTTTATTTCAGTTGAAAAAAATATATTAAAACCGAACTAAACAGACCAAACCGAAAAAGTAATGATTTGTCCACCCTTATTGCATCCTAGAGATTTCCGCAAATCTTGTCTCAGCATTGGAACTCTCACTTGTTCCACTAACTCCCACATTTTAATTTAATAAATACTTCTCTCTCAACATTATGCTATATTTTTATACCCGCACAGGGTGCGGGTGGGTCACCAAGTTAAAAATTAAACATGAATCTCGGCAGTAGTCTGGGCCAATCCCAAGTTGTAGATATAAAAACAAGAAAAAACAAAAGATGATTGCCGAATAAAAAAATGGTGAGAAAACATTTTTAGGGTAATGTCATTGACTTAATTTGAAGGAGAGGAGAGAGATAGAAAAGTAAGAAAGGGAATGAAATAAAATCAGATCGAAATTAGTTTTGAAGTCCGCAAGGACTATTCTCTCTCTCTCTTTTCAGCTTCTTTCTTCTCTCTCTCTCTAGATACAGCGAAGAACAGAAGACGATACTGTGAACAAAACAAAAGGTATAATTTAGTAAAAACAATTTGTAGGAGTCGGAGAATTGGTTTTGTTTCTTTTTTGGTTATCCCCAAACCCTAGTAGATGAAGATGAACAACAAGTTCCTTCCCCTAGCTTTCTACCTATTTTCTCTCTCTCTTTCTCTCAAGTTATAATCTAGTCATCAAGATAAACATAGTTGATTTCTTCGATTCTTTTTTTTTTAAGACAGATTCTTCAATTGCAGCTCTTGTAAGTATCAGTCTGGACGTAATGGTTCTCATCTTCTATATTCTCAATTAGGGTTTTGATCGAGCTATCTTCTTCTTGTATTTGTTTTGATGGGTCCTTCTTAACTTTTATGATATTGAGTTTGAAAGGAGCTGACTTGCTTCATTCGGATCTGGGATTTTCATTTCATCACAGATAGTCGAGCTTTGGCGATACTGATTTGCTCTAGAATGTTCCATACGGAATCTCACAACTCAGATTCATCTCTTTTCTTCATCTCTCTCACGACTCTGAAGCATATTATTGCACAAGTATCTACTTCATTGTGCATTGGAGACACCTTTGCTCCAACACAGAGCTGAGCTTATACATTTTTTTCAGACCGTAAATCATCTGTTGTGTCTTGCTTTTTAAAAAAAAAATTATTCTGGGAGTATGGTGCCATCAGAGGCGTCAAATCCTGTTGGCAGTGGAGAAAATGTTCCGACAGGAGGCCAAGGAGGAGGTCCTCTTCCTTCACATCCAGCATTTCCTTCTCAGCGGACTCAGTTCAGTAACAACATGAGCATGAGTATGCCAAACATCTCTTCCATCCTCAACAACCAGTCTTTTGTAAATGGTATTCCCGGCTCAGTGGTTTCGATCGACACCAGTGGGGCCGAGTCAGACCCTCTGTCTAACATCGGTTTTATTGGTTTGTCATCTTTCAACGTGTCGCCGAGCTCATCAGGTCAGCAATTCTCAAACGTTTCGGCTAACCAGTTGTTGGCTGAGCAGCAACGGAATAGGAAAATGGAGCCTCAGAATTTTCAACAACAGCAGCAGCAGCAATTTTCGACAGTGCGTGGAGGAGGGTTACCAGGTGTGGGATCTGTCAAGTTGGAACCTGGTCAGGTGTCCAACGACCAGCAGGAACATAAAATGTTGAGAAACCTAGGATCAGTTAAGTTGGAACCGCAACAACTTCAGGCCATGAGAAGCATGGCCCAAGTGAAAATGGAGCCTCAACATTCAGAGCAGTCAATGTTTCTCCAACAACAGCAGCAGCAGCAGAGGCAACAACAGCAGTTTCTTCAAATGCCTGGGCAATCTTCGCAGATGAATATATATCAGCAACAGAGACTTATGCAACAACTTCAACAACAGCAACAACTCCTCAAACAAATGCCTCAGCAACGTCCTCAATTACCACAACAGTTTCAACAACAGAGTTTATCTCTGAGGCCACCTATGAAACCTGTGTATGAACCTGGCATGGGTGCTCAGCGTCTTACACAGTATATGTACCGACAACAACATAGGCCTGAAGTAAACCTTCTTACCAGATATGATTTTTTTTTTCTCTCAGCCTAGTGGATTTCTTTATGATTTAACAGTTGTGCCTGCTATTCTGAATGCAGGACAATAACATTGAGTTCTGGAGAAAATTTGTTGCTGATTACTTTGCTCCTAATGCCAAGAAGAGATGGTGCGTTTCTATGTATGGTAGTGGCCGGCAAACAACAGGCGTTTTCCCTCAGGTTTACTGCTCACTGAACTTGTTCTTACTTGTGTCTTTTTATCTTGTTTTTGCTATTCTGATCATGCAACCAGGCCAGTTGTTTTCAAATAATCTAGGTAACTTGTTTCATGAACTTCTTTACATCGATATTTTTGTTCGCAAACAACATTGTAGGATGTGTGGCACTGTGAGATATGCAACCGAAAGCCTGGACGTGGTTTTGGTACGTTATATATAGACTATCGCACTTGTGCTAAGAGTATTTCTTAAAAAGTAGCCCACCCTTACTGATCCATTTCATTGTTTAGAGGCAACCGCCGAAGTCCTCCCGCGGCTTTTTAAGATAAAGTATGAAAGTGGCACTTTGGAAGAACTTTTATATGTGGATATGCCAAGGGAATCTCAGAATTCGTCTGGTCATATTGTCCTGGAGTACGCAAAAGCAACACAAGAGAGTGTATTTGAGCATCTTCGAGTTGTTCGTGATGGCCAGCTTCGAATTGTTTTCTCCCCAGATCTTAAGGTTATTCAAACGTACTCTCTTTTATTCCTCTCTTGGAAACTATGAGTTTCTTATCCAAGCTCTTTATTTTTTCTTGTATGTTCTTCTCAGATATTCTCTTGGGAATTTTGTGCTCGGCGGCATGAAGAGCTTATTCCACGAAGGCTTTTGATACCTCAGGTAACACATTAGCTATTGTTCTTTCATTTCCCATAATTGAAACTGCATCTTATGGGACATGCTGGTAGAACACTATTCTAGCCGGATTTACTTTCGTTTTGGGTTTTATCTGGGACTGGAGTCATCACTTCTTACTTTTAAATCAACAATAACTGCTTAGGTATTTAACTATTTTTGTTCTTCATGTATAGGTTAGTCAGCTTGGATCGGCAGCCCAGAAATATCAACAAGCCGCTCAAAATGCAACAACAGATTCTGCTCTTCCAGAGTTACAAAATAATTGCAACATGTAAACTTCGTCTCTTATTTTGTTTAGATTACTGTAACAAATCCTGTTATTCAGATCATTTTTTTGATCCCTGACGTGCTCTCACTGCTACGCAGGTTTGTTGCATCTGCTAGACAGTTGGCAAAGGCCTTGGAAGTACCACTCGTGAATGATTTGGGATACACAAAGAGATATGTTCGGTGTTTGCAGGTAGATGGATATTGAATAATAATTTCTCAATATGAACTAAAGTGTCATTTCACATTTGCAGTCTTGCATATAGTTTTATATATACTAAGCTGAAAAAGATAGAATGCTTGCTAATGCATATTGATCTCCTGCAATATTGTAGATCTCGGAGGTTGTAAATAGTATGAAGGACTTGATAGATTATAGCAGAGAAACAAGAACAGGACCAATCGGTAAGTTAAATGTGACAGCCTTTAAAGCATCACGTATAAATGTTAATCTGTTTTATTGTTCGTCTCTAATTTTCACTACCGCAAACAGCTGTATCTATTTTAATTACGTGCGGCTGATAGATATCTCGTGTCAATCTGTCTTTTTCACGTTTTTTTTCTTATTTGGTACAGAGAGTTTAGCCAAGTTTCCTCGGAGAACAGGTACTTCGTGTGCACTGCCTAGTCCTTCTCCTCAACAACCCAATGAACAGCTAAGGCAGCAGCAGCAGCAATCAGTTGTCCAGATTGCAAACAACGATCAGAGTTCTGGGCAAACCTCAGTAAACTATGCCTTCAACGCAGCTTCTGCATGCACCACCTCCACAAGCAGCATCGCAGGGCTCATCCACCAGAATTCCATGAAACAAAGACATCAGAACACTGCTTACAATCTTCCAAACAGTCCTTATGGTGGAAACTCAGTTCAGATGCCGTCACCTAGTTCCTCGGGTACCATGGTGCCATTATCACAACAACAACCCACCCTGGCATCATTTCAGTCTCCAACATCCTCATCTAACAATATTTCTCAAAACGGGATAACATCTGTTAACAATCACATGGGTTCCACAAATTCACCAGCAATTCAACAAGCTTCAGGTGATGAAGCAAACGCGTCTAGTTCGGTGCAGAAGATACTGAATGAAATCCTGATGAACAACCAAGCTCATAATACCTTAGGAGGAGGAAGTATGGTTGGGAACGACGGGAAGGGAGGTAATACTGTAAATAGCTCTGATGTTCTAATGATGAACGGTCAAGTGAACAACAACAGCAACACACGTATTGGAGGTGGTGGTGGGATGGGAGCTAACGGGAACAATGGTCTGGTGAACGGAAGAGTTGGGATGATGGTAAGGGATCCAAACGCGCAACAGGATCTAGGAAACCAACTCTTAGGAGCAGTCAATGGTTTCAACAACAATTTTCAGCGTGATTGGAACGTGTGATGAAGAAAGAGACTTTGAATGTATCTGCTTGCGAAACATCACCAGGGTAAAAGGCCGGAAGAGCTAAAAGAATCTTTGTATAACAACTGGTTTCTAAATACCAACTCGAGTTTCTGTTTTCCTTTTTTTTTGAGAGTTTTCTTTATGCTTTTATAGTTATAATGTACATCTTTCATCAGAGAGGCGATGAATCAGATGTTGTATCCTTCATTTATCTCTTTGTTCAATGTGCTATCGAAACTTCCCTTAACTATGACCAGGATAAATTACTATCCTTGGGTATAGTTTGGCTTGTCCTATCATAAGTCTCACCCAACTATCTACAATCCACAATACTGGGTTTGTACAGAAAAGACACAGAACACAAAGCCGTGTGTTTGTGTTGAATATGAGAGAAGAAGAGAGGTAGAGTATGAGAGAAACTAATCGTGTGTTGTTAAGGCAGATTGATCAAAACCATGAAAGAAGAATGTTTAAAACCAGATAAACAGACAGGGGCAGAGCAAAGATACATGGACAGTAGGGGGTCAGGTGACCCCGTTCAAATACTAAAATTAAAATGTTTAGACTGGTTAAGAACAAATGTGTTGTTGGTTTAAATTCTTTGATTTGCCGCCATTCTCCAAGTTTGAGCTTTCTTACTGCACATGTCTTTGTTTTCTATTATTGGGTGAATTGGTGGACTGTACATATTGGAGACAAAAATTAAAAAAATAACCATATAATAAAGTTATTCAAAATTTTGACAAGTTTACACTAAAACATACGAAATTCTCCTTTCTACACATGGGTGTGCAACAAACACAAAATTATAACATACTATACTATATTTCTTAAGTGTATAACATAGAACAATCGATTTATAATAATAGTAATAGTATATACATGGAATCATAAGTGAGAAGTGAAATGGAAGAAATGGAGGAAGATGATGGATGTAAAGAGGGAGGAGTGAAGAGAAAGAGGAAGAGGAAGAAAAAGAGAAAGGGAAAAAGTGAAAATGAAGAGTTAGGAAGAGGAAAAAAAGTGGAGTGTGAAACGTAAAGAAGCAAAAGAACAATTGAAGGATCATAAGAAGGAAAAAGGGAAGAAAGAAGAAGAGAGACAAATGAGTAATTAAGAATAAGGAGTTAGGATAAGTAATAGAAGAGTGAAGAAAATGGGGTCAAAAGTGAAAAGTGAAAACTGATGAGTGAAGTAAAAAAGATCATGAAGATAAGGAGCTAGAAGGAAGATAGAGCATGGAAGAATGAAAATTAAAGAGTAGAGAGTGAAAAAAAAAGTGAAGAGTGAAGAGTAATGGAGATGAGAATCTGAAGGATATTAAAAAGAAAGAAGAGAGAGGAAGAGTGAGAAGGCAAAAGTGTAAAATAAGGAGTAAAGAATAAGGAGTAAATAGAATAAAAAGAGAGGAGTGAAGAGTGAACAAGAGATTCTAGATTTAAGAATAAAGAAGAAAAAGAAGATAGAGGGAAGACTGAGCATGTGTTAAAATACAATTTGCATATAATAATATACTATATTTATTAAACATATTGTATATATTAATGACTTTATAGTGAATATAAATTAAAACTGAAAATGAATGAAAAATATGGACTGAGACGTGAAGAAGAGAATAAGGAAATGTCAGAAAGTTAGGAAGAGTGAAGAGGAGAGTTAAATGACATATTATATTATGACAATAACATAGAGTAGTATGTTAGTGTAATTTATAAATGCTTACATACTGATTGTTTAGGTGTAAAATGAAAAGATATTATGAAAAAATGTTGTTGTACAAGATGTCAAATTTTGTTCTTAGATAACTTTAAACAACATGATTCATGTCAAAAACATTTTATTGTTTACAACTTTATATTACAAAGAGACTGAATTATATTCTATTTGTATAAGTCGAGAAATATAGAATAGACTATTTAATATATGTAGTACTATTCATCTTCTTCAGTTCAAACTCTGAATTTTTTTCCTCCTTCCATCTCATGCTAATTCAGAAAACCTAACCACAATCTGAATCTTCTAATTTTTGTCTTGGCAGATATCGATCACTAACGCCTTTCATTCAGTCAATGCAATTCATTTGTTGGTGAAGAAGAACCATGGGATGAAAAACACATACAAATGAGTGTTATAGAAGTGAAGAAACAATTATCACCTAAACTGGAAAAAAAAAACAATATATGCGTGTGAATCTTTAAGAACAATAATGGAATTAATGCATATTATACATGTTATATTTAACCATTAGTCTTATATGGTTACTTTTGTAATTATTATTTTTATGGTTATTGATTCTAATTTTTCTTCATTATTTTTACCTTTTACTTTACATAATTGTGGGCCTCAGAACCTGATTTTAAGACGAACATAGAGGTCAAACTATTTTAGGTTTTCTTTTCAAACTTCTTTATTTTCTATTGTTTCTTAGATGTTTACTTGTTTGCTTTTCAACTTCATATGTTTCTTATTTTCCTTTAAATATTTCCTGTATATCTTTCTTTTTCACATAAAAAACTTTGATTTTGTTTATTTGTTTTGCAGTTACTTTAGATATTTTCTAATTTTGTTGCAAAGTTTGGTATAATAATTAAAATTCTCCATTGTAAAAGAACCTTTCAGTAATTTTTTGGTTTTATTGAATTTTTTTTTAATTAATTTGTTTCTTTCTGATCTCTAATTTTCTTATTAAATAATATATAAATTTAAATTTTGATTCCAATAAAAATATTCTTTGCTTTGCCACTATAAACAGTGGAAGCTGTAGAGCGATACATGGAAGAAAAGAATACTGAGACAAGAATAATACAAAAATGAAAAAAAGAGAGTAGAGTTGCTTATCTAAACTTAGGAACGATGGTCTGAATATTCTTTCTTATTGAAAAAATTAGACAATACATCATATATCTACAACTCTAACCACAAGATATTCTTTAACATAATTGGAAAGATATCTAATATAAAGAAAGATATCCTAATCTAAAGAATGTGAATATTTTATTCCCTAATACTATCCTTCAAGTTGGAGTGTGAAGATTTTGAACAGCCAACTTAGACATTAAGAAATCAAACTGAGGACGTCCAAGTGCTTTGATAAGAATATTCGCCAGTTGATCTTTCGTACGAACATGAAACATGGAGATAAGACCAGCACAAGCAGCATCACGAACACAATGACAATCCTTTTCGATATGTTTTGTTCTTTAATGAAAGACATGATTAGAGGCAATGTGTATTGCAGCTTGACTATCACAATAAAATGACACCGGCGTAGAAGGCGAACCACCAAGGGTTTTAACAAGAGGAACAATCCAATGCATTTCTTTAACTGTGCACGCCGTTGCCCGATATTCAGCTTCATCTGAGGAATGAGACACAGTGTGTTGTTTCTTTGTTTTCCAAGTAATATGAGATCCTCCCACCATAACTACAAATGAACTTAGTGAGCAACAAGTAAGAGGAGACGATTGACAATCAGAGTCACAATAGACAGAAAAGTCAAGGTTTGTATCAGCTCGCAAAAAGATTCCTTGATAGGGTGACCCCTTAAGATAACGAACGACACGCAGAGCTGCATCCCAGTGAGCTTGGCGAGGAGTCTGCATGAACTGAGATAAAAGATGGATGGAGTATGATAGCTCAGGAAGGGAGATAGAAAGATATACCAATCTGCCTATCAAACGACGATACTGCCCGGGATCAGGGAACAAGGGACCATCATCGGAAGCAAGTTGATGATTTTGTTCCATCGGTGTAACGGCCGGTTTCGATCCAAGCAAACCAGATTCAGCTACAATGCCAAGACATACTTCCGTTGAGATAAATATATTCCCTCATCTGAGCGAGAAACTTCAATGCCTAAGAAATATTTTAATTTTCCAAGTCCTTCATATGAAAACAAGTACCTAAGTAGGCTTTAAACTTGTTAAGTCAATCTAGACAGTTACTGGCAATAACCAAATTGTCCACATAAACAAGAACCCGTATCTCAACGTCACCTTTGATATAGATGAACAATGACACATCCAAGTAAGACTTCTCAAAACCAAACTTAATAGGAGCTTGTGAAAGCTTGGCAAACCAGAAATGAGGCGCTTGTCTCAGGCCATATAGAGACTTGTGTAACCTACAAACTTTAGTGGGATCCGAGTGTGAGAAACACGGAGGAAACCTCATATAGACTTCTTCTTCGAGATCGCTGTGAAGGAAGGCATTATGGACGTCCATCTGATGGACCTCCCACTTTTTAGCAACCACAATTTTGAGTAGAGCACGAACAGTGGTCATTTTAACAATTGGAGCGAAAGTTTTGTTGAAATCATCCCCTTCTATTTGGTGGTTTACACAAACTACAAGATGCACCTTATACCTACGAATGGTCCCATCGGAGTTATATTTGATCGTGAAAACCCAGTGCAGTTTTGCCTGGTGGAAGCGAAGTCACATCCCATGTGCCTTGGTCTTCAATTTCAACAACCTCATCTTTAACTGCAACCCGCCATACTTTCTATTTGACAGATTCAGAGTAACTTTTTGGTATTATACCCGCAGTTACTGCTGCGAGAAATACTTGATGTGCAGGTGAGAATGATACATCAGATAAATATTCGACAAGAGGATACGGTGTCTTACCAGGAATCAAATCAGAAGACGCTGAGTGAGCAGAAAGAGGAGCGAGAGGGGTATCTTTTATGCTGACTGTATTATAAACGATATAGTCCTGAGACTTGGATGGAGGAGCTCAAACACGTTGACCACGTCCTAGTGGTTCCGCTGGAGAAGAAGACTGCTAAACCGTATCAATGCCAGCAGGAACTATAGGTGGAGACAAAGAAGTTTCCTCAAGGTGCTCTGTTTCAGTGGTGGTAAGCACGGGTGGAGGGATATCAGTATCATTGCTCCCCCTTTCGTCTAAATTTGGTTCTGGCTGTGGCTGTAATAACCAATCCTCATCAGGAGAGAAAATCTAATATGATCCTAGGTAGACAGATCACGTCCAT